TGATTTCAAAAGGTTGTCCAATGCGGTAATGCAGGAGAAAATAAGAAAGGGGGAGTGCTTTAGATGTGAAGAAAAATATGGACCCAATCATATTTGTAAAAATAAACAGTTAAAGGTGATGTTGGAGGAAATGGAGGGTATGAATGGGTGTGAGGAGGACAATTCAGAAAGTGAGGGCAGAATTCAAGCAATTATCGCTAAATAGTATTGCTGGATTTACTTCCAAGAGGTCCCTTAAGGTGTGGGGTGAACTTGGTCAGGAGAGTGTGATAGTGTTGATTGATTGTGGGGCTACCCATAATTTCATTTCCCATGAATTGGTAAGAAGAGCTCAATTAGCAGTTCAAAATACGCCTTCCTACGTGGTAGAGGTTGGTGATGGTCATAAGGTTCGGTGTAAAGGTAAATGTGCTGAAGTGGCCATGATGATACAAGGGGTGCCTATCAAACAAGACTTTTATTTGTTTGAATTAGGGGGGTAGAGATGGTTTTGGGGCTGGAATGGTTGGCCGAATTAGGAGAAATCAGAGCAAATTTTGAGCAATTAACTCTGAAAATAAAGGTGGAAGGGCAGTTGGTAACACTGAAGGGGGAACCGGAGTTAACGAAGGGCAGAACTTCATTGAACTCTATGATTAAGACTATACAGCAAGAAGGGGAAGGTTTTTTGTTAGAATGTCGATTGATTCAGCAACCTGAGGAAGCTATGGCAAAGTTACCTCCAGTATTGACTGCAGTTCATCAACAATATGCTGAGCTGTTTGAGGTTCCGAAGACATTACCTCCGGCAAGGAAGCATGATCATGCCATACATCTTAAGGAGGGAGCTGCTATTCCCAACATTCGACCCTATAGGTATCCTCATTACCAAAAAACAGAAATTGAAAAGATGGTTAGTGAGATGCTGGTAGCTGGAATTATTAGACCGAGTGTGAGTCCTTATGCTAGTCCTATTATTTTGGTAAAGAAAAAAAGATGGAAGTTGGAGGTTTTGTGTGGACTATAGGGCCTTTAACAAGGTGACTATACCTAACAAATTCCCTATTCCTGTTATTGATGAATTGGGTAACGCTAAAATTTTTTCAAAATTGGATTTGAGGTCCAGTTATCACCAAATCAGAATGAGAAGTGAGGATATTGAGAAGACAGCATTTAGAACTCATGAGGGGCACTACGAGTTTGTAGTGATGCCTTTTGGGCTCACTAATGCGCCGTCAACCTTTCAATCCTTGATGAATGAAGTGCTGAGACCATTATTAAGGAAATATGTATTGGTATTTTTCGATGACATTTTGATTTACAGCAAAAATGATGATGAGCATGCACAGCATTTGGCTACAGTAATGGATCTTCTACAGCAAAATGAATTAAAGGTGAACAGGAAAAAATGTATTATTGGCCAATCTACTTTGGAATATTTGGGCCATATATTCCAGCAGGTACTGTGGCGGCTGATCCAAAAAATTAGAATCTATGTGGCTTTGGCCTCAACCTAAAGATGTGAAGAGCTTGCGGGGATTTTTAGGTTTGACCGGATATTATAGATGGTTCATGCAGCAATATGGTCTCATTGCTAGACCATTGACTCAACTTTTAAAGAAGGATAGTTTCTTGTGGAGTGAGGAAGCTCAAGTTGCTTTTGATAGACTCAAGCATGCCATGACCGTACTGCCCACGTTGGCTGTTCCAGACTTTTATAAAATTTTTGTTTTAGAAACCGATGCTTCAGGAACGAGTTTGGGTGCGGTTTTGCTTCAAGATGGGAAGCCTCTTGCTTTTTGGAGCACGGCTTTGTCAGACAGAAATCAATGTACGAGAGGGAGTTGATGGCAGTAGTTAAAGCTGTGCAAAAGTGGCGACATTATTTGTTGGGAAGTCATTTCATCATACGGACGGACCAAAAAAGTTGGAAATTTCTCACTGATCAGCGGTTGTGGGCAGAGGAACAATTCTGTTGGATTTCAAAATTATTTGGATATGATTTTGAAGTGCAGTATAAACCAGGCAAAGATAATACCGCAGCTGATGCTATGTCTCACCGAAGCTCTTATTTTTCAATTTCAATTATAAAGATGTCTGATTTTGAGGAGTGGCAAGAGGAGATTCAACAAGATGCTAAGTTGAAAGGTATTATACAAGATTTATTGCTGAACCCAGCTTCTCACGAGGGATATGTTTTGAAGGATCAGAAACTGTTTTATAAAAACAGTTCGGTGTTGCCTAAATCTTCTGCTAAGATTCCCATTATTTTAAAGGAATTTCACTCTTCGTTGATTGGAGGACACTCTGGTTATTTTCGAACTTTCAAGCGAATTGCCAATGTGGTTTATTGGGAAGGTATGAAGAGTGATATAAAGGAGTTTGTGGCTGCCTGTGATGTGTGTCAGAAATAAATACTCTACTTTGACTCCAGCTGGATTGTTACCGCCATTGCCAATTCCCACAGTTGTATGGAGAGACATATCCATGGATTTCGTGGGGGGGCTACCAAAATCCAAAGGAAAAGACACTATTTTAGTCATCGTGGATAGACTGACGAAGTACGACCATTTCTTACCGCTGAGTCATCCTTACACTACTGGAGATGTGGCAGCCATTTTTGTGTATGAAATTGTGAGGTTACACGGTTTCCCTAGTTCTATTGTGTCGGATAGGGATATGATTTTTATGAGCAATTTTTGGAGAAGCTTATTCAAGGCAGTAGGTACCCAGCTGAAGTTCAGTTCCTCTTATCATCCGCAATCAGATGGTGAAACAGAAGTGGTTAATAGAAGTGTGGAAATTTACTTGAGGTGTTTAACTGGGACAAGACTCAAAAACTGGAGTTTGTGTTTGGCTTGGGCTGAATTTTGATTCAACACAAACTACAATGCATCTAGTAAAATGACCCTTTCAGGCTTTATATGGATTTGACCCCCCAACGCTTTTAAGGGGAACTGTGATTCCTTCTCGAATGGAAGAAGTAAATCAGCTGCTGCAAAGCCGTGATGAGTTGTTGGTTGAATTGAGGAGCAATCTTCTTAAAGCCCAAGATATGATGCGGGTACATGCTAATAAACATAGAAGAAAGGTGGAATTTCAGGAGGGTGATTGGGGGTTTTTGAAACTTCAACCCTATCGTCGAAGGTCTTTGGCTAAAAGAGTGAATGAAAGTTGAGTCCTCGATTTTATGGACCTTTCAAGGTGCTGTCTAAGATAGGACAAGTGGCATACAAGCTGGAATTGCCTCCAACTAGCAAGATTCATCCGGTGTTTCATGTTTCATGGTTAAAAAAAAATGGTGGGTCCGTTAATTCAAACACAGCCACTGCCAGAAATGTTGTGTGAAGATCAGGAATTGCTGGTTTGTCCACAAGCAGTTTTGGAGGTTAGAGAATCCACTATGGGTGATGTGGAAGTTTTGATACAATGGCAAGGCCTTCCTTCTTGTGAGAATAGTTGGGAATCTGCAGCTAGGATGCAAGAGGCATTTCCTTCCTTCCACGTTGAGGACAAGGTGAAGCTTTTGGCGCCGGGTATTGATAAGCGTAGGCCACCTTTAATGAAAGTTTATCAGAGGAAGCTTAAGAATAGGACAGTTGTAGAGGATTTGAATTGTCAATCATAACTGTATTAGTTATAACTGTATTTTGTTTCATGCTCTATAAATAGTTAGTTAGAAAGGGGGGAAGGGATCTTTTTGGAGAAATCGGAGATTGGAGTGAGAGGCTAGAACTCTCGAAATTCCAGTAGGAAGGTGTTGTACAGTTTCCTATTTTCTTCTCTTGTTCAGAGAAGATCCAGTAAAGAAATCTATTCTTTTTTCAGTACCTATCAAAGTTCCTATGACAAGTGGAATTCATGAGGTTGAGCTTAGCAGCCATGTCACTACTGAAATGATCAAGAATTCAGCGAACCTTGCCTATGTTGTATTGGATGTGTATGGAAATAAAATGGTCCAATTAGTACAGCAGCAACAAGAGTGAGAAGGGAGGACAATATAGTTGCTAAGTTTGGCTGTACAATTTATGCTTTTGAAGAAATTATAGGGATGGGGTAATATTCAAAAGCTGCCACATGTCAGAGACCAAAATCAAAGATGTAAAAAAAGGTATTACTAACAAAAGAAAATACTGCAGAAAAGATTCCTGCAATACCCAGAGCACAGCTCCTACAAGGTTTGCACCCTTGCCCACTACTAACAGCAGAAAAGCATAACTAAATCCTTCTCTCTCTTCTCTCCCCTTATGAGAAACCTTACACGTCAACATGCTCTTCATAACTAATTTTTCTCTCTAATTCCCATTCTGCCCCTTCTTATTTCTCCTACTATAAGTTTTTCAAATCCAAGGCCCATGACAAAGTTGGGCTGGACTTGTCCCCTTAGGTTCATGGGACCTAACATCACACTTCACTAGAATTTGGGCCACAGCTCTGTGCTTCATGGGGAAACTTATGCTACTATTGTATCTCTAGCTATGGGGAAAAGAGACAATCAATTTTTATACTTTAGACAATGGAACCCTGCTGGAGTTATGTAATCCTTCTTCACCTTGAGGACAAGGTGAAGCTTTAGGGAGGGGAGTATTGTTAGGTAACCCCCACTAATAGTTTGTTAAAATAGATTACTTAGTTAACCCCTACTAACAGTTAGTTCAAATAAGTTAGTTAGTTACCCATTAGTTGGTTAGTTAGGTGAGTTAGTTGGAATAAGGCATGTTGCCTATAAATAAGAGGGGAGATTAGAGAGATAATAGAAGGTGATTTGTGAGAGGAAATTGGGCTTTTATGGCATTGGGAGGAGCAGACCCTCAAAGTTCTGCAGTTTGTCTTGTAATTGGGGTTCATCCCTATTTCATCTTAACAAGTACCTAGTTTCTATCAGAAAGGTTTGTTATTGCATAAAGAACAATCCAACTAAACATCTATCAAACCCATACAGAACTCCCACCCAGCCCAATACACTAAAAAAAAACCTGGAAAAAAATAAAATAAAATACGGAAAACTTAATGTTAATTACCTTGTCCCTCCCAAGTGCTGCATAGTGTTGTAAGCCATTGCATGAACCATCCTAGCAAGTGGGGAATTGAAGTGAGGAAAGAAATAGTAAAGCATGTATTTAGCACATGGCAAATCTCAACTTCATTAACATACATGCTCATGAAGAGGTCTACTAGGAAACAACAGAGCCAATTTTGACCAGAAAACCCTTCTTTATGATTAGGATTTATACTTTCATCTCTTTATCTGGGCTTGTTATAATAACCAAACCAAGCCAGCTTGTTACATTTTCAACTCAGATTGGTTCAATTACATATTCCTAGGTATGACTGAATGAAACCCCAAGTTCTTATTCATTCAATGAACAAGATGTTGATCAAGAAAGATAAGTATGCAACAAACACAGTTATAATATAAATCTAATTTTGTATAAGATATATATACTGATTAGATATTCATCACAAGTTAATGTCACAATGTGACAAGGACAAACATCCAAGATAGGCTGAATAAAATTAGCAAATACATATTTAGAGCCCACTTGGTAAACAGGATAGGATAGGATACGCACTTATCTTATTCGCATTTGATGCATACCAAAATTACTAATGATATACAACCGTAAATAATTGAAACATTTCTATGCACTTGAGTAACACCAGTACTATATTATGTGTTTCTTCCAAAAGGGAAATGGAAAACATGCTGCGCTGATATGAAAATATGCTATTCAGATACAACTCAAATTTGAAGGCCTATCACCCTCTTGCTAACAACTCTGTTAGGACTCAAATTTATCCTTCATCAGTTTAGATGAAAATGTCAATTAAAAATTGGTAGCTGAAATTTATGCTTTAGTTAGAAAATGCAGAATCAGACAATATATGTGCTCCCAAATAACTGCACAAGGTACCTGGTGTACAGGCATATGAGAAATGGTAGTCTCAGGACTGGAGCTTCTCAACGCTTCAGAGAGATTGATACATGCCGCCAGGCACTGCAAAGGATCCTCTGCTTGCAACCACCAACACTTTCCTTCAAGAGGCCTGTCTGCAGAATCAAATATATCATCCAGGTGGTTCTCAGTAAATGCTATTCGACCATCATAAGATAACTTGTCGACACCTCCAGCAAACAAATTTGCCAGATGTATTTTTAACCAGTGCAAGCCTGACTTCCCAAGAGGTCGTCCCTCTGCAAACTCAAGTATGCCTCGGCATAAATCAGAACCAAGATGGTTCAAATATGGGTGCATGGGATAAGCTCGCCCTCTGAAATCAAGATTGTGAGGATAATAGAAGCCTTCTTCATCCTTCATCTTTCGTGCAACCTACAGCCACAAAGCCAACGCACGCGATATGCAATGTTTTGCAGAGAGTATTTGATAGAGCTAAATCTATTTAGGATTGGCAGATTTCTTACAGCAAGTTGTAGTTCTATGTGACATCGCTGTGAATGTCTCTCATTATTCTCCTTTTTCACAGCTTTGACTTTCCACTTCCATTTTCGGATTTTTGCTTCATCTTCTGTGTCAGGTTCCTCTGGGAGGGGAACCTGAAAGAGAGAAGTCAGTCATAATCAAGAGGTATTATAGAAATGGAAAAGTGAACAAAGGAAAGACAAAGCTAATTTTGGATGCAGATACAAAATTACCTAGATAAGCATGCAACATTTTCCGCAAAAATTAGTATGTCAGACAACAGATATTCACTTCATTAAAATGATTAATGAATATTTTTATTCATATTATATTTAACATATAACTTTAATTTTGAAAAGTGATATATATATATATATATATATATATCCCTCAAAAATTCACAATTTTCCCATTTGGTCCATCATAAAATGTTTTCTGTTACAAAATGGCCACTTTTGTTTATTTTAAAAGAATTCACGAGTACATATAAAAACCTACTTTCAAGGAAAAATAAAAATATATGCATGCTTCCTTGAAAGAAATCTATACTATACTGCTCTGCTGGGAAGCTTCTCTAGTTATCGTTTCTTTAGTAGAATGGGTCAGGTTTTGAGAGAATTGAGGAGTTCAACAAATACATTTAGCAAGAAGTCTGTTTGCTTAGTACTTACATCTTCACGATCCACCAAATCAGCCAGGCGTCCTCCATTAGCCCATATTTGATCTATCACATTCAGCACCCTTTTATTAACCCTCCATTTGGTGCTGCCAAGGGTATTAAGGGCCTAGTAACAAAATAACAGAATTAATTTCAGCAAGTAGTGATTGTGGACCATGGACAGACAAAGCATATATGTTTACGAAAAAGAATATTCCAACCTCAAAAATAGGATCAAGTTGACTCGTGGGAGCCCTTTTAACTGCTTCTCGTTGTTGCTTTGCTCCATGTATTCTCATAACATACGAAGGCAAATACAAGTATGCTCCTTTGTCATACCTAAAAATATTGCAATATTTGTAAGAAAATTAAAGATTAGTTATTAAAACAGAAGAACTTAATCACAACTCAGAATTCCAAGCTGCATGTCAGTATGTTCCAATCAAAAACAAAATTTAGTAAAACATTAGAACAGCAAGGTAATAAGATGTTTTAACTTGTTCTTTTGATTCAAAATTTACTATCAGAATTGTAGGCATTATACAAGTAAATTAAAATAAGATAAAATAGAAAAATAAAATTCAAATATTTACAATAAATGGGGAGAAAAAATTGCATGAACATATGCAGTACCCTGTCCAGTTAATAGGTGGGACCAACATTGGCATGTAGGGAATGACCACGTGCCTGGCCTGTTAATTTAATCACATTTTGATGTTAGCATCAACCTCACGAGCTTATGCATGAGAAAGCAAATGTATTGCTGAAAGTACAAGCCATAACAACTCTTCCTAACCTACTTGAAGAAAGAGGAATATAAATTCAAATACAAACCATCCCTAGAATCACTTACAGACTTCTCAAGGCCCTTTAGCACCAGAGGATCGCATTCAACAACACCATATCTCCTAGTTTCCTTCCTAATCAAGTAGAAAGCAGTCACTATTAAAGAAAGAAAAAGGAATCATTTAAATTTATGGATATTGACTGTGAAAAAGCACTATACTGTGACTCAGTTGAAAGTGTTTTAAGGGAATGCGTAAATGCAGGGCGTATATCAGGAGGACCATCTCCAAATTGATTGGCAGGTGGTTGTATGTAGGCTGTTTCTATTAATAGCTGCATCAAACGTGAGCCAACCTGGAATATACAATAAATACATAAATACATTGTAATGTGAACCGGAGAAACCTTCCATGTTCACAGATACAAGAGAATTACAAACCTTCGCTTGAGCTTCTTGTCCCCAGGGTTTCCACTCATCTTGTCCTCGAACTATTCCCATCGCTTGTTGCTTCTTCTGCTTTTTTATCAAATTAGCAACTCTTTTCCTAAGTCTCTTCTGTTTCTTATCCATTTTCTCTTTGTCTTCGGTCAGTTTGCCACTCTCTCCGGGTGCAAGATCAGATTCACCATCAGATTTGTCAGCGGTTGTTCTCTGCTCCCTCATCTTCGTTGTCTTCTCCATAAATCGGTATATCCTAGCCTGACCCACATATAAGGGTAGTACAATTTCAGTTAATAAACGCTTGACTCAACATAAAACTTGACCAACAATAACTGGAATTGACCGCACTTTTAAGTAAATGATCGTAAATTCAACTACATGCTGTAGCACTGCATTAAGTATTGCCTTCACTCAACAAAGCATCAGGTGAGCATTTGAGTGACACAACCAGAGGGTAGAAACACCAATCACGACGCATTTGAGTGAGAGATGTGAGCAACAAAAAAGAAGGCAAAGCATAGGCAACAAGAAGATACCTCGTGCTCAATGGCTTCACCAATTTGACAAGCAGCTTGAATGACTCTAGCACTGCCAATTCCATCACTATTGGTCATCAACAAGCCCATCAACTTGTGCATGGTGATGACAGCCATCATGTCAGCAGGCAACTCATTGAAAAAAGGAGCATGACTCATCCTAGTCCTGCTATCTTTGCAAAGCTCTTGATCAGCAACGATTGCATTTCTTAAGGGCTCAAACCAACCAAGGAACAAAGACTTCATATAAGGCAAATTGGGTGCAAGCTTTTGTTCGCGCATGTCCTCCAACAGTTCCTCGTACTCTCGAGCCGCTTCTTCCCACGCCTCAGTCTCCATCTTTATTTGCCTCCGCTTAAGCATCTTGTACTTGTAACTCGCCATGCCTCCGGTCTTCTGCTGCTCCAATTCAGTTGCCATTTCCTCCAACAATTTCTGAACCTCGTCAGAGCCCGAACAATCATCTTCGGTATCGGTCGATTCGATAGCCTCAGCCACGCTCGCGTGACCTCTGCTCAGCATCCAAATGGGAGAATAAAAGCCTTCAGAGAAAGAAAACCTCGATCCACCCACCGAAGAAGCGACGGCACCCACTTTGTCGAAACCCTGAAACTTTCGGGGCTCATAAAATCTCGTGTGAGAAGTAGAAGAAGATGAAAGTAAGTAGAAGGACTGCATCAAGTTCCTCCTTGAGGAAGCTCGCTTGGCTAAGTTGGTCCACATTTTGGCGACGAAGAAATATTATGAGTTAGTTTGGGACATTAGATGAGATGAGTTGAGTTGAGTTGAGTTGAGATAAGAATCACAGACTCTCAGAGGAAATGGTGTTAAAAGATCTCAGAGAGAGAGAGACAGAGAGACAGAGAGACAGAGAAGCAGCCGCCTTTAAACCCTCCATAAAACCTATCAATGTCTATTTGTTGCGCTTCCGATTTTGCTTTTCAATTCGGTTTTCCGGTTCGGTTCTGACCCGGAATTCCATTTTAACAATATATAAAGATTAACAATATGATAAATAAAAAAATATACTATAAAACATGTTAAATAAAATTATTATATATTATAAAATCATTTTTAAGAAAACTAACATTTAATAATTATGATAAAATTTATAATTTTGCATTATATTTTATATTTAATATAGCATATGTGTATTTCTTTTACTATGATTAAAAAATTAATAATAATATTTTTAGCAAGTTAGGGTTAAATTTTAAAATATTTTTTATTTTAAATATTTCAAAGTAATTTATTTTATACTTGAGTATAAATTCTATTTTTATTATAATTTACGAATATTTAAAAAACTTATTCAATAAGTTACAAATAATAATTGTAATACTATTGAAGTATATTTAATATTTATTAAACATAACTTTTAATATTAAATTTTACATACTCATAAATATATAAATAAATAATTATTATAATAAAAGGAACAAATATTGAATAACAGTACTTCAGAAAAAACACATTATAATACATACATTTAACATTCTTCAATGTTGTTCGCAATCTAACACTAGCAAGTGCACTAGGATTGCAGCAAGTAATGAGTGAATTTAAGATCCAAATATCGTCTCCACAGGGAATTTAGGTTTCAAGTACCACTTCATAGAATTATAACCATTTGAGCTTTTTCGAAATTGGAAGGAGAGTAGTAACATATAATAATAACAAACCAGAACAATTAAGAGTAAAAGAAACTTGCAGAAACAGAATAATGAACAAACAGTTATGTGATAACAGAGGGAGAAACCATAGTTAGGGAATTACTTCACCAAAACTCCAATGTTTAATTAATAAAGTTCTGAATTAACAAGCAATTAGAAAGAATGACAATCAGTTTCACATTATATTATTTAGAGGTTAATTCCTTAACTCAATGAACCTAACATTCAATTAAACCATTCTAATTCCTTAGATCTGATTCAATTCAATATTGCTTTAAGTGTAAGAAACCAGAAGATTGCAAGATCAAAGCCTCTTATCCCTAAGAAAACTATAATCTCGGTGATTGGTTCAGATTTGAAGAACAAATTCAATTTCTATTGACAAGAGTTCCTCTGAATTTAGTTAATCAAATTTTCATTCAATTTCCAAGTGAAGTGCAGAATCAATCACTCAATCTATTCCAAAGCTTGAAATTCATATCCAAATCAATTCAACATGTTCATTTCAGATCTACAATCCCTAACTATGAAGAATTTACACAGCCATGACAGCAGAGAAAGAAAAAGAAAGAGAAGAAGAGAAGAAGAAACTCAGAAACGCCATGGAAGCTTGCTCCACTCCAATTCTTCTTCGTGAAGCTCCAAGATCCGAATCCCCACTCCTCTCTCTCACTTACTCTAACGAGAATCTTAACTAAAAACTGAAAAATAAAACTGAACTCCCTAAAAATCTGCATGTTTCTGTTATTTATAGAATTTCCCAGATTTGCGCGTTATCACTTTTATGAGAAATAATAGTCACGCAGAAGGTTTATGGTTGCGCGTTAACACTTTTATGAGAAAAAGTGACCACGCGCAACTTTCCTGATTTGAGGGCTCTATGGAACTATCACTCTTGCTGATAAAAGTGATTACACAGAGCTCAAGTGGTTGCACGTTATCACTCTTATGAATAATAGTGATTACGCGCAACTCGCCAGGTTGAAGGCTCTCTGGAACAATCACTTTCGTTGATAATAGTGATCACGCATAACTTTTCCTGATATTTGCCTCTCTAGAACGCTCACTTTTACTGATAAAAGTGATAACGTCCAACATGTTGAGTTTGAGACTTCACATGATCTCTCACTTTTCCTAACAAAAGTGATAACGCCCAAGCTTTCTTCTTCTTTGAACTCTGGAGTGATCACTTTTACTGACAATAGTGATCACGCCCAGTCTGCACTTTCTTGGTCTTGTGTTTTTGGAGTCCAAACTTGCTTCTTTCTTCTTCCTTGTCTTCAAGCCTCCATTTCCATGATCCTCAATTTATTCCTTCAAAAACAAGATTGAAAACTTAATTTCTAAACAAAAATTCCATAATTGCTAAGATAACTACAAATTTAAACAAAACTTCAATTCCTTCTCTTTTTCTGAGTTTTCCTGCTTTCTTCATATATTTTTCTTATCAAATGTGTTAGAATTATGCTAAAATATCAGTAAAAAATATAGATTCATCATTCAACTATTATAATATTAATATTAAATTGTTAACATAAAAAACATATAAATTAAAATTATATAAAAGTTAAAAATGGTGCTTCAGAAATAAATATAAACAAAAATAATGAAAACTATAAAAATTACAAAGATAAATTTAAAATTATAATAATTGATGATAATTTACAAAATTGACATATCAAAATATTTTCATAAATAAAAATAAATAAGTTACAAATAATAATTGATAATATTTTATCTAAATTAAAAAATAAAAATATAATTTCAAAAATATATTCTTATAAGTTAAGTAAAAAATGAATGTAATTATTTATTAAATAATTATTTTAAATGGAAAAAATTAAGGTAAAAAATTCTAATTAAATTTAAAAATAAATTATATACATAGAAAGGAAATACAATTATCATACTTAATTCAGATTTTAAATATTTTATTTTATTTACCTATTCATTTATTATGATATAAAAATATTAAGTATTAAATGTGAATACCCAATTTTATTTGGGTCTCATCTAAATAAAGTTTTAAAAAAATAAAAAATAATAATTAGATAAAATTTTAAATTTTAGATCTATAAGAGGTTAAGATTTTAAATTTTAAATTTTAAATATGTAGGTATTTTGGTTAATGAAAAAAAAATGATTAGTGGATAGATTTTAAGAAAAGTGAAGAAGACAGTTGAGAAAAATTTAAAGAGTGATTATTGGGAAACAAGGGATTACAAGAAGGTAGAACCTTTTATTAAAATAATAAATAAATAAATAATCATAATAAATAGGATTTAGGGTTTAGGAGATGTAGGTTATAAATAGAAAGCTTAAATCTTCAGAGGAAGACACTTTTTTAAGATGGTAAAAAAGGAGAGAGAATTTACATCTTTCGGAGATGACTAAAAAATTGAGAGTTTAGGGAATAAAGAGAGAAGAAATAAAGAGAGAAAATTGAAAGAATTTAGAAGACAAAAAAAAAACAACGAGAACTCAAGAAAGAGAACAAGGCGAAACAACTTATTTATTCTTTTTTTTTTCAATTCTTCTTCTTTGTGTGCTTTCTTTTTCTCATCTTGCTTTTTTTTTATCCTTATTCGTCTTGGTCTATGCAAAATTAAAAAAAATTAATCTTGTGAAATCCTAAAAACTTTTTCCTTTTGTTCCTTTCCTTTTAATAAAAATTTAATTTTATTAAACCCTAAAAAACCTAATTTGTAAAAAATTCCTCCCTTCTTTTTTCCCAAAAGTCATAAAGTTTTTTTTATGCTAAAAAGTCATCCCTTTTTGTACTAATAAACCCTAAAAAATTTTAACCCTAAAAAAACCCTAATTTTCTCCCCAAAATCCTTTTTTTTTAAATATTCCTTTTGAAACCCTAAAAACCCTAATTTTTTCCCAATATCCTTTCATTTTTTAAATAATCTTTTTTGCGAAACCCTAAAAAGACCTAATTTTTTCCCCAAAATCCTTTCTTTTTCTCTTAAAAATCCCTTTTAAATATCCCTTTTCTCAAATGCTAGAAAACCTAATTGCTAAACCAAAAAAAAAAATCCTTTCGAGAAACCCTAAACCCTAATTTTTTAAACCCTTAAAAATCATCCTTTTTCACAAATCTTTGAAAAAAAACATAATTTCTTTGTAAATCCTACAAAAAGATATAATCCCTAAATCAAGAAAGATTTATTTCCTCGTTACTTTTGTTTGCATTTGTCCTTGTTCTTTTTCATTTATTCCATATGTTATTCTTTATTTTCCCTTTGCATGTAAAAACTAAACCTTTGTTGTCTAAAAAAAATCTTTTGAATTCACGCAACTACGAAATGATTTTGATAGAGTGATTGATCTATCTTTAATGTTGTTTGTATCGTAAGAGTTTATTGAGTATTTTGTGCTAACTTGAACTTGTGTAAGAGTGGATTTACTTAAAAAAATAATAATAACAAAGTAAAAATTAAGTTTTCAAAAAAATATCTATAAAACTTACCCAAAATCTAATTTCAAAAAAGTTTCACTAAAATAAATAAATAAATCAAATTTTCTAAAAAAAAATCCTTGCAACTTCTCATAAACCTAATTTTAGAAAAAGAGCTACGTAGCTTTGATTTCTCCGTTGCACATGGAGAAGGATATGTAAGAGCGGGAATCTGACACGTCAAGTCTGAAATCTTTTTATTTTTTCTTTTTCAGGTTTAAATTATTTAAAAAAATTAATTTGAAATAATTCTTTTAGAAAAAAATGAAATTGTTATGTTTATTTCAAAAATAAAATATCAAAATAAAATGTTTTAAGATTATTTCCTTTAATACAAAAAATGCAAAAAAAAGGGAATAATATTTTATAAATGATCCATTCTCGCAATTCAATTTAAATTTTTTTATTGTGTCTCTTTATTAAAAAAATATAAAAATTAATTTTTACTTTAAGGAAAATAAAATATCAAGTTGAATTTTTATAAATTTCTTTAATATGAAAATGCAAAAAACAAAAGGAAATAATATTTTATAAATAATTGATTCTCCCAATTCAAATTAATTTGTTTTGTTTTATATTTCTTTATCAAAAAAATATAAAAATGAATTTTTTTAAAGAAAATAAAATAC